AGAGAGAGAGAGAGAGAGAGAGAGAGAGAGAGAGAGAGAGAGTGAGAGAGAGAGACGGAAAGAGATTAAGAGAGGGAGAGAGAGTAAAAGAGAGAGAGAGAGAGAGAGAGAGAGAGAGAGAGAGAGAGAGAAAGAGAGAGAGAGAGTGGGGAGAGGGGAGATATATCATAAAACTGAAAACACAAAAGTTGGAAGATGGCGTGTGGGATAGGGGGATTGGGTGGGGGCTTACAAGGAGGCAGATTATAAAATAGCAGCAAACTTTCCTTTCTTTCGTTTTTCTTCATAGGGGAAATAATTAGACCTGCTCGTTATTCAATCTCTTAGCAAAATATTCGTTATTAAGTTCTTCCACATCGTAGAAACACTTCAACGTCGGTTTATGTCATTTTCATGATCATAAGATGTAACTTTTATATTTTACATCTTTGCTAGCGTGCACCATTAGGCTGGTGTTGTCATGTTCTACGTCAGAATGACGGAGGCGTGTGACTGTTAATTATTGTGAAGGCACATAATATGTAACATAAAAATATCCTAACCTTTCGTGTAAATAATGTTTCTTTTGCATATTTACCAAAAATACTTTGCCTGGTTGTGTTGGACTCAATACGAAACTCCCGAGTTACTTATTCTATATACTTGTGTCCTGAGGCAGAAAGACAGATACCGACTGACTGGCTGGACAGCCATCTGGCACCAGTACCCAAGCCTGAGAAAGTCCGAAGCAAGATTGCATCTTACATAACCATCACCTTGAAGAACACAATAGGGAAACTACCCGAAAAAATTGTGGCCCAAATGCTGACAGCTGAACTGGAGGAGAAGTATCTGCTACCGCCTACTTAAGGCAGCTATCGTAAAGGCAAAGACACTTGGATGAACGTTTCTGTCCTGGCCTCTGATGTGTATGATGGTTTTGAGCGGGGTGAAGAAACAGTAGTGGTTGCATTGGACTTATAAGACCTGTACAGCAGGGTTCAATATGAGATACTGATGAGGCAACATGAGAATCTCACCAGCTTTGATAATCTGGATTGAAGAAGCAATATTGAAGAGGAGGGTGACTAGGAGGCTCTGGTCTTGGGCATCAAACGTTAGCACGATCACACCTGGCTTACCTCAAGGCTCTGCCTTATCACCTGTTTTGTTCAACGTATATACAGTAGGAATTACTTCTAACCAATTTGGGGGGCTCTGGCAGGACACTAAGCTTTGCGGATGATGGTCTCGCATATTGCACCAGGAAAGACTGAAAGGTGATCGCCAGCAGTATACAAAAAGAGCTTAATAAGATTGGAGCGTGGTGTGAAGCAAATAAAGGAAAATTCCATCCTGGAAAAGTGACAGTACTTTGGTGCTCCCTCAACAATCGAGCAGTGAAAACCCTGATGCCAGATGTCTACATCAAGGGCCAGACAATCAAAAGAGACGAAATACAGCGCTACCTCGGAAGAGTGTTTAAGAGGACATTGACTGGAAAGGAGAACATATCGACCATCATCACAAAGGCCAGAAAAGGGCTGAATGCGGTGAAGGTGATGGCGAGAGACAGAATGCCGCAGAGAAATTTGGTCTTGCTCTTTGACATGCTTGTCTTGTCTCAGGTAGATTATGGTTTTGGTCGGCTGACACTGTCCAAGACGCATCTTAGAAGGCGAGACGTGATCCAGAACGAGCAAAAGAGAGCCATACTCGGTTGCCCAAAAGATACATCAGTTGCTGCAATGTGATATGTGCTAGGCATATCAGGCAAGAACGAAAGACACAAGCTCGCACGGTTCAAAACTTATCTGAAAGTCTGCACAGATTCATAGAATCTTCTTTATGAGAAAGTAGGTCGTCAGTCTAACCCAAGACTTAAAACGGGGCAGAGAGTGGATGACTCAGGCAGTGCAAACCATTGAAGAGTGTGGTCTCACTGTTAAGGCAATCAGACGAGGGGAGACATGGGTACAGCTTGCAGACGAGGTGAAAGACAGATTCACTCAGGTGATTTCTACATTAGGGCGTGAATGTCGTGAGTGGCCTGAAGGAGCAACATATGCGGAAATCCAGACGCTAATGGAAGAGAACTGCAGAGAGAATGAAACCATTGTCTTCACTGATGGCTCTGTTTAGCATGGATCAAATCAGGCTGGGCTTACACTGCTTCTTGTCAAGGAGTAACAATCCAGGAGGCATCTAGGACAACTGGCCTCACTACATGAAGCATGTGCATTGAGATCAAGGCCATCACTGATGCTCTGAAATGGCTTTGCACTAATGGATACCAGCAGGCTACCTTTGTTACAGACTCAATGAGTACTCTTAATACGATCTTGACCGGCAGCCTCTATGCAGATTGGTTTAAGACACTCCAAGACAGCAAAATCAGATGCTTGCAGTGGACCTTCTGCCCAGGACATGCAGGAGTCAAGGGAGATTGAAGAGCAGATAAGCCAACAGGCTCCGCAAACATAGAGGGAGTGCTTACCCTTGACCCTCCAACTGTAATAGCCCTTGTCCGAAAACACCTAGCCAGCAGCCGTGAAGAGGACCCTTTCACGATCTGTCTGTCTATCTATCTATCTATCTATTTATCTATCTATCTATCTATCTATCTATCTATCTATCTATCTATCTATCTATCTATATATCTTTCTGTACCAGCATAGCCGTATTATAACCTGCTATAGAGGAGAGGCGGAATCTTTAGACCAAACTTTACAGTTGCGTGCAGTAGACGTGAGCTCAAATTCCCAGGAGGGAAAGTTTGGGTTTCGTTGCTGTTCTGTTTTGTTTTGTTTTGTTTTCAATTAAGTGTTTTTGTCTGTCTCCTGGGATGCTGTCTCTCCCTCCTACCGGGTTATTCTTGTACTGCCGAGCTCAAAATACATAGGCTTGTCTAATAAATGTTGCAAAATGTGTCAGGTGGAGCGCAAAAACATGTTGGGTAATGTAAGTAACGCGAAGTCCAGCTCAGCTGTCAATTTTGTCATTAGTAACGCGAAGTCCAGCTCAGCTGTCAATTTTGTCATTAGTAACGCGAAGTCCAGCTCAGCTGTCAATTTTGTCATTAGTAACGCGAAGTCCAGCTCAGCTGTCAATTTTGTCATTAGTAACGCGAAGTCCAGCTCAGCTGTCAATTTAAACCATCTATACTATTGTTACCCTAGAACTACAAAGCTCTATCTGCTCAGTACATAGTTTGGAGAAATTTGACGTAAAAAAATTGAGTTTATTATTCTTGCATTTTCCAATTCAGTTCTCTAAATATGTACATAAGAACTCCGAACAATTTTACGATTTTGATAAAGCAGATAGAACATCTGATTTTTTTACCTAATGGTCTTAAGAACTCAAAACGGAAAACAAAATGTCAGAGAGAACTTTGCCGTTCTGTGGTAGCAATTGTTGCCCTAACTGATCTGGATAGCATTCTGACACAAGTTTAACTTTCTTGGAAGCA